AAATTTCTTTCTCGCGTGCCGAAATCTTTCCGTGTGCGGCAAACTGAAAGCTATCTGCTTATGGATTGTCTTAACAGCGCATGCGTAATATACGAAAGTAACCATCCAAGATACTAAGATACTAAGAAAGCTTACTAGCTATTTCTGCAATAGCGCATTCCCGATTCTCTCTGTTTCTATTCCCATCGTATAAACACCTGTATTCTGGCCAAAAATCAACCATTTTGTCTTCCAATATGGCCTCAGCCACCAATTCGTTTATCTTTGTTTGCACCGCTATCTTGGATGTTTACTTTCGTATATTACGCATGTGCTGTTAAGACAACCCATAAGCAGATAGCTTTCAGTTTGCCGGACACGGAAAGATTTCGGCACGCGAGGTAGAAATTATCAAACATGCTAGATATTTGCCGCAAGTGGCACGAATGACCAAAGTCGCCGGAAAAGTCGCCCGCACACGAGAGCAACTTGCTTACGCCAATGGCCACGAATGACTTTTTGCTAAGCACATATGCATAGCTCTAGTGTGCGCCGGCCTTAAGATAGATAGATAGATAGATAGTAAGAATGTGACGTAACTACGATATCTTCCGAGGACTCAAAAATTCGCGAACCGTCGGAAACTATTATCCGCCATTACCGTTGAATCAGTTTGTCAATATTTGTGATCTTTTGGGCAAAAAAATACCGCTTATTTTCGTAAATGCACGAACAACTAAAGACTTCAATTTTTTAGAGCTAAGCGAAGGAATAAATGGCTATTTTGTGCTAGGAAAACAAGTGGGAAAGATCATTAAAGCCCTATTCGCTAAACTGAAGGAGCGAGATTTTATACAAAATTGAAGGTGGTGTCTCCGTTTAATAGTTTCATTTTTCACTTATAGAACTTTAGAAAATATAATTGCTTATAGCGGAAGCATTGAAACAATTTCGTCCTGCATTTATCAATACATACTGCGTTTGTCTTTAAAAACGCTAAAATATCTCCACATGTACAATTTTAATGTAACTGAAGAATACAAGCAGGTTAAACTTTGAGGAATTGGCTTTGAATGTTCGGGAATTGGTTTTATATACTATTATATAACTATCACTATACCATGCATATGTGCCCGTGCGCAGGCAACCATAACATTGGGCTGTCTATGTTCATGCAATCGCCATTCGCAACAAACAAAACATTGATATGCGTTTTGGAAATCCTTATGCACTCGTTCAGTGCCTATTTTTTACTCTTGCTATAAGTTTGCTATGAAGCTTTCAAATTGAAAAGCGATTTGATTGTCTCATGCGGCTAAGCACTTTGAGTACAAATATTGGACGAACCGTAGTCCGTAACCGTTTCTTCTTGTGTCATCTTAAACTCCCTATATTGAGAGAAAAGACACGTTGCTTCACGCTGATTGAAGCGTTTGGCTGTAAGTTATTTGATATCGTTATTGAGTTAATCTCAGGTGTGTTGGAACAACTGTATGCGACACAACAAACGTGGATTTCGTAGCAATTTTATTTCACAGGCTGTGCATACAGGAGCGTAATTATACTAGAACGATATACGTATAGTTGCGAGGTGTTATATATATCTATATATATAATGTAATTTAGTATTGTTAAGAAATAGAATGTCAATATCTACGGCGAACTTACTTAGGGAACACGTCATATAAAATGAAGTGTAAAGTAAATATCATTATGACCCTTCGGAATCACAAAATTATACTTTTCCTGTCATGAGGTGACAGCCCATGGGATTTCCTCCGAAACAATAGTATGTCGTACAAAGTTCAAGTGTCACGACTCAAGAACATAAGTTTTAGGCGGATACTAGTTTGTGTCAATCATTTCTTTGTTATATTTTGCTCGGTTAAGCACTGGAAGCCTTACGTCACTAAAAGCTTAATTCAATGAAATTATTTGTAAAATAGTTTATCAGTTGAGATACAATTCACAGAGTAATAAGTTGATAAATGTACTTTAAGTTGATAATAAATATTTTAAGTTGTGAACAAGTTTCAATAGTGATCGATTAAGTAAAAGACCAACTTGACTAGTGCGTCACCGGCCATACAAAGTATGAGACCTGGACCGAGCTTCTAACGCCAACCCACTCTTGCAACCTACAACGCTGATTAGATAGAGTGAATCAAATAAACTTGCACAGGGCGTCTTCAAGATCCCCTCAAATTTTATTATAAAAGGAGGCGAACAACAACAGAACATTCAGTGGACTAAATACGAGAGTGGACTAACTCTCAGTGGACTAAACACGAGAGTGGACTAAAAGGAGTGGACTAGCGGAGTAAAAAGCATATGAAACGTTGGAGAAGCTCAACCTTACAAAACCAACGACCAAAGACAGGAGAGCAAACGACGAATATTTGAAGAAGAAAAGAGAAGAACGGAGAATGAAGAGAACATTAGTGAACTTTAGTAAAACCTTGTAAAGATCTCCTACCTAGCGTAAATAGAAAATAAAGTATATAACACTATATACAAGATTTTCGATATAACCTCATAGTTTTTGTTGGGAATTTTAATCTCAAATTTTGGGAATAATAATATAATATAATATATATATATATATATAATAATATATATTATATATATATTTATTAACATATATTATATAATTTACATATATTATATACATATTATATATATATTTATATATATATATTATATATTATATATATATATATATATATATATATATATATATATATATATACATATAACTCTTATGCATATAACTCCAATGTTATCAAAACAAAGCCACATCCGATATCCTTAGGGAACAAGAAAACGAGAAGAAGAGAAAATATCAACAAAGAATCTTGGACGTAGAAATGGGCACCTTTACACCACTGGTTTTTGGAACGAATGGAGGAGTAGGAATTGAATGTGAGAAATTCTTGAAGAATCTAGCGGATAAATTGTCGAGAAAAAATGGAGAAGATTACTCAACTGTGATTACGTGGATTAGAACTAGATTGTCCTTTGAAATTCTGAAATCAGTGCATTTATGTACGAGAGGTTCAAGAACGCCATTTCGTGCGAAGGACGAACATATTGACGATTTCAAACTAAACTCTATAACAGCACAAGTTTTTTAAAACTGTCTACGAATTTTACTATAGTATAAATTTTTAGCTTTTTGATTTTGCACATTAATAGATGTTAGATTTTGTCTGCGTTTGTTATAAATGGATATGGATTAGCATTGTGGTATAAAATAGTTTAAATGTTTTTTAACTGTTATATTTGTTATTATAACAATTTTATCACCAATATGTACGTAATTTTTAAAATAGATTGCTATTATTGAATAAATTGAGATACAAGCTATATATACATATATATATATATATATTTTTTTTTTCTTATATTTTATATATATTTTTCATTTCATTTATTAATTAAGACAATTCATTTTTAATGTAAATAAGTAGCTATAGACTAGGTATTAAGTTTTAGGGATCTGAAAGTATTTTGTAAATTATTTTATTATATTGTTTATAAGTTAATCTATAATAAGGAAGCTATATAATGTAATGAAAAAATTAAAATATCAAAAAATCTTTACTATAATAAATCATTTTTTAAAGGTTTTTATTTATTACAATAATTACATGGCAAATTACATAATAACAACCGGCCTACAATAATTTATTGGATGTGATATAAACTGACATTGCTGTCGTAAGTCATTTAAATTTGAAACGAACGCTTCTTTTGTGGTCATGTCTGAAATTTTTTAAATCATATAAGTTATGGCAAATTACCCAAACTAAACACTTTTGCCTCTAGAATTATTATAATTACTATACAGACATCAACGCTATACTCTTTATCGTACGTATTTCTGCCTCGTACCCCGACTCTTTAGTGTTTAGGCTTTTTACAAGGGCTTTTTATCATCGCAATATTATATTAGGCTCAAAATAATGATGTATACACAGCGAAGCGTGGAGCGGCAGAGTGTTGATGGGAAGATTGCGCTAAGACGGGGAGCGCGTGGCATTTTGTTTTGAAAATCGATTTCTGGCAAGTGATATAAATTGATCGTCGTTTCCACGTTTTTGCAACTTTTTTCATGCAGGTTATACTCGAGCATTTATGTCTGCGTTAAAACACTAAAAATTCAGTCACTACGCGTGAGAAAGGTGTAAAATAAGCGATGATGACTTCGATAGATTCAGTCTTCAAGGTGAGATCAAAATGCTTTTATTAACTTTGTATGTGTATATTTTCATCATGAATATTTTAAAACATCTGGAGACGAACACAGAGCTGCTCCACGATCAGCAAGCTAGATATATCGCTTGTAATTTTCAACGACCCTCATCGCCGAAACTATCACTAGGACAAAGCTTCAAAGTTTAAGCAGGACTTGACGCCAAAAATTTTTATAAATTCCTACTTTCTCAACTACGTTATCCACGCAATGATGGAAAAAAATATCTGCCAGGGTGCAATCCTATCATCAACGCCCTCGCACTTCACGCTTTGTTGGTTATTCATTTAATCCTAATATATTTCTTTGCTAAAAAGCCCTTGTAAAAGGCCAAAATACTAAAGCCCCTGGGTACAAGGCGGATCATATTAGCTTCAAAATGGTTTTTGAAACTTTTTAAATTTAAAATTCGATGAAACAAATATGAGTCCAAAACGTTGACAGTATCAATAAAAATAACTGTTGAAGTTAAGTCAAAGATTTTGCATTGTTAAAGAGTAGATTTTTGAAGCTACTGGTTAGTTTGTCATGCTTCGTTAATTATGTGTAAAGTGCTTGTGCTATAATTATTCATTAGGAAAAGTCTCAACGTATCACGTTAAAGTCTTATCCTGATTATGACCAAATGCGTAAATGACTACGGATTGTTAACGGTGTGTGACACGTTTTTCAAACATAACCCATTTGTTTCATAACAGAATATCGATAAGACATCGAAAGTACTTTACTGATTACAATTAATTTTCCAAAAATGAAAGGAAACCCTCACAGAATAAAAGTGATTTAACGTCAGCGTTGTTCTGTTTGAGTTGCCAGTTGTTGGTTGTGAGCGGAATATCAGTTCCCAAAAATTCTGAACCAGATAAAGGTATCTCCATTATATTTAATATAAATATACCTATATAATTATATAATTATAATATATGATATAATATTTTTTCGTTATGTATCATATCAGTAAGAATATGCTATTGTTGACGTGCTTAATATTTTTTTTAAATACGCTTTTAGTTATAATCAGTTAATCAGAAACAAGGAAAAGTTTAATGATAATATAATATTAGACGCTCAAAATACATTCCAACTTGTGTTATACAGGTATTTTAACTCTATTCCTACCTTCATATCGCCCGATTTAACCCGCTTTTTATATATCCGGCTTCATATGCTAATTTACTGGGAAGGCCAAACGACGTACCACACCATCAACGTCGAGAAGGTGTTGATGACTGACATGGAAAATAGTTGGGTCTTAAAGTGATCCTAATTCTAAATTCTAAGCTGAGGGAATTCATTTTACTGGCAGGTAACTGGCGAATATCCATAAAACGACAGTGCCGGTCTTATGCGGCATCTTATGTTTCAAAATCCACATTATGGATTCTATTTAAAACTTGTATTTACTAAAGTCATCCCTCAAAAGAATATACAGGTAGTCCCGTTCAGTTCGCTAGTTCGCTAGCCTCGTCTGAATTAAATAACAGGCCCCTATAACCTGTAAAAAATCAGTAGTACTTTTCGTAAAAAACGCATTAATTTATTGTTCACGTCACTTAGTAATGTTATAAGAGCCGAGGTTGATATTAACAAAGTGGCTGTATTTGAGATTGTTAAATTGCCGAGTATTTTTTAGCTTCTGGTGACTTAGTCATGCTTCGCTAATTTTTGTTCCATGCTTGCTGTTATATTCATTAGATAATGGCATTACCCGTAACTATCAAAGACGAACATGCATATTGCACATTGCCACACGAAAGCTTTATTAAGTCTTATCCGGATTTTTCGCTTGAACAAATGCTTTGACGTTCATTTCTTATATGCTTTGTTTTTGTTCAATGTTATATGAAAAAGGTTAATTTCTATCAAAGGGGTTGACTAAAAGTAGTCTTGGACAGCACAGCTACTGCATGTACATAAGAACAACTGGACAACCTCTTACAACATGAAAACCATTTTTATGTTACGTTATTCCGTTTGAGCCACAGTATGTTGGTCGTGTTAAAAATACTAAACCATATTGAGGTATAATGATTATTATATACAAAATATTGTACTTCTTGTACTATAACACAACGGAACCAAACCGCAACTGCAGTGTTAGGTTATTTCTGGACAGTGCTGTAAATGTATAGAAACACTGGAATTTTCCCGCCGAACTTGACTTACGAAGCGATGTAATGAGAATTTGTAATTGAATCGGTTTAGAATATCTGTACAAAATCTTTTTATTGAGTTATATTATAAAAGAAATAGAAAACATTTCCTGTGTTTCTATATAGTTATAGAAACACTTGTGGGAGTTTGGGAGAACATTAAATAGCGTACGTGGAAAAACTCTTTCTCACTGACTAACTGACTATTTTTCGTTCTCACAAACTCCCACGCGTGTTTCTTTAGCTGTAACATGGAAAATGTTTTCTATTTCTTAAAATAATATTGTACATAAAAAACGAAGTTACACAGTATAGGCCGTTATGGCATAAGGTATGGAATGCCAGAGATGTTAACTCAATAACTTACATCAAGCAAACGGTGAGTAGTAACTAAGCTGAACTATAATAAAAAACCCATACCAATATCCGTTCGTTAAAGAAATATGTGATAATGTTTGCAATGATACAATGTTTGAAACAATGTTCAAATGGCGTCGCCAGCTTGATAAATGGGGGGGGGACTTATTCATATATTCGTATTTTACATTATTCCTTTCTTTTCAAATTGATTGTTTAAACGGTCTGTACGCGTCGGAACATGAATATATGAATATGTCCACCCCACTCATCGATGCTGGCGACGCCACTGCAATGTTTTGGACAATGTTTAAAGTCATGTATAGAATTAAGAGTCAGAGAATCGTCACCCAACCAATGCACATAAATGTTTATTAAATATCAACGTTGATTAGTGTAGCGCATTAATCCTTTTTGGATGGATTTGACCTTTTTTTGAATGTGTAGTTACAATTAGTGTAGTTGTAATTACTGTTTGCATCATTATGCAATGTAATTTAGTTACACACCTCTGACAAAAATATAAAGCTATATAAAAAGACACCGCGGTAATTGGTAAGACCATAGTAAGTCTTAGCCACGATTCTCATGAAATACTTGTTCATGATCATGTTACGTTTATGATCATGAGAGACGGTACGGGACGTTTCCCGGAACGAAGCTGTGACCGGGATTAAGCATTCTATATGTTTGTAGAATATTTTTCGTGTGGTGTTTATATGAAAGCGTGTGTTCTTTGTCCCGTCCTTCCAGGGTGGGATATCGCTTTGAGCGCCGGGATTAGAGTAAAAGGGACTTTTTTGTCATTGTGCTGACATTGCATTATTGGATCAATGTCACGTGTCCACTGAACAATTTGGCGCAAACAAAAAAAAACAGATGATTGTTCTGATATTCATAAAAGAAGAGAAAAAGATGTATAGCGCATGTATAAATGTATATTAAAATTAATCGAAGATATCAGCGGATTTGAGAAAAAATGTGGTTTCAACAAGTTTTTCCAAGGCAGGGTTGAATGCTACTCGAATTGAGAGGCAGCCCATAATACAATAAGCTTAAAGAAATTTGGGGAGGTTGTCCGAACACATAACCACTTTCAATTGATGAAGCGCAATTGATACTAACGAAGCGCAATTGATACATGCAGCATCAATACAACGGTTGAGACTATATTGTTGCCTTTCACGACAATGCAAGTGATCATGAAGAAAAAACATGAAGAGAGCGTGACCTCATTGCTGAACTTGTTGATAATTTCTTTGTTACCAAAGAGGCTGATGATACTATTTTACAATCTAGCTCCAAAACTCCAGAAGATACACAAGTTGCGAAGCACTAGAATCTAGAAAAAGGTAGAGAATGCTCATTGATGACAAGAGAAAACATCTGGAGTGACGCTTACCTGCCGCACATCGAAATTCTCGTCTTCCTAAAGAAGCAAAAGAAGACCGAGAGGACCGTAGGGAATTTTGTGAAATGATAAAAAATGCAAACGACTCCTTTGTGCCCTCTTTAATGATGTAGTTATCTATGTCTTGGGGAACAACTTGACTTGATACATGTGGCCCAACTAATGCAGATCTCGTGGAAACCTTTATTACGAGATATGCATTCCCTAATGACTTTACACACGAAATCTTTATTTTAAAAATACGCCCCCAACATGAAATGATGCGGTTCATTTTCCCCCATAAACGTTCAGTGTGTAGTAGTAGTAACTATCAGTGCGGCTGATTTAGCGCATGCTCGATGACTCGAAAATGGCTTCAAGCGCTGGGAGTCGCGGCTAATTTTTAGTAACTATAGCACTAGAACTAACTGAAGTCTACATTCCAGGCGGCCATCAACGCGCAAGCCGTACGTGCGATTTCGGCGCGAGTTTACATGCAAGTGAAGGCCTGTCTTAACAAACAAGACGGTCAAACGTCGACCGTTCAACAAAAATGTTGACTGGTAAGGTGTCCAAAAAGCCAATGGGATTTGACATTTATTACTATAAGCAGAAATCAAAACAAAACATCACCTTCGTCTACTGAGTGATGAATACTTCATGGGTTTTCGTAATCGTTTATTGTGGTTGAATTTCTTTATGAACCGAAACTATACATGGTGGTTTATTCAATAGCTATATTTTATGTGTAAATCATAGCCCGCTGTTAAAAGGAAATGGACCAATTTTTTTCTGTAATTCTCTTTACAGATGAAAAGAAGAATCCTTCAACAAGAATGATATCGGGACCTCAACTTTCTCTTCCGAAGCAAGAAGATATTGGTGAAATCCCGGCAGGGACGCTTTTTGGTCACTGTACCAGCAAATGGAGATGGAACACCGCATCTGCTGATATCGATATAAAAAGAACAAAAGGAAATGTTAACGCCGTCGGTAAGGGTTTTTACACATATCATTGGCAATTGATCGAAAAGAGTGATTTCATTTTCAGTCAATTTATTGGTTGGTCTAATGTCGAATTCAGTAATGAAGATCCAAAAACTGAAGCAGATTTTCTGAAAATAAGAGATGATTTGAAACAGGTCCGTATAGTTGAAGTGAAAACTACGAAGAACGTGCCTTTTTGGAAATCTAAGAAAATCGTCACAAGCGCAGATAAAATTCTTAGTTTTTTATCCAACCAAGGTCAGTTGAATTTCGCAGCGATAGACGTCGTCAAACCCGGTATGGAAGAGACCGTTTGGTTGAATGCCAAACTAATTAACTCGGCAAATAATATCTGGCGTTATCCAGTGGAAGATTCTTCGAAGTTCGAATATTTGGAAGGAAACATCCGCGAAATGACAGAGAGTGAAATCGATAGATATATTCATCTAATGAAAGAGAAGAAAATAAGTATGTGACCAATCTCAAGTCTTTTAATTATCGGCAATGTTTACTAATTATTGAGGGATTGATTTACTAATTATATAGGTTGTCTCAAATTTCATTGCATGGAACATTTTGATGAAAAAGTTGATGATTTATAAAAATGCGCAACTGTTGAGAAGATTTTATCAGTTGCATTGTGTCGTTTACAGCCAACTAATGAGACAAGTTTAATATAAAATACTTTTTGTGACTCAAATGCGCGGTAACTATTTTCTTACATCGGAAAAAAACGACAATTCGGAGAGAGTTCGATAAGGAATCTCGATTTTTATAGCTATGTAAAATGGCTGATTCCCAAAGTTAGGGGGAATATTTTCAAAATTTTGACATCAAGTGGGACACAAATTCACAGGGCAGTGCGTATGTATCCAAAGCATATATGAGAGTGCAGGAGTCAAAAAAGGATACTGCATGATACTGACTTCGTGCAAAATACCTATTTGTAATTTTTCGCGCCTTCCGTTTTCTTTCGGTCAATGCTTAATTAATGAGGTTGAAAATTGGGATAACCATGCATGTTCGTTTTTGAGTTTTTGAGGGATAGAAATCGGGCTTGCTAATTTTTTGCAAAAGAATATAAATGTGGTTACGTAATCAATGGTGTTAGGGTGTAAATTAACAAAAATAATTAATAGAATAGTTAACATTTGTTGGGGATTATATTTAAAATAATAGATTGAGTAGCTGTTTAATAATATTATTGCTATAAGACAGATAATTTATTCTATTTGCAACATTGTAATAAGAATAAAGATCATAATTATTTTTGTTGGGGATCCTTTCGCTTAATAATTTATTTCAAAAATCCATACAGTTTATTCTGTATCTGACTATGAGTGTAGAGTTTGGGAACGTACGTAGAAAAAAAGTCTCAAAATATGCAAATTTTTAATGAAACAAATAGTAAGTAAAGACGGGTCCAAGGCAGTGGTGGATCCAACACCAGTGCACTAATTTGAATGACACAAGAAAACTGCTAAAAATAACCACTTTACTTTGGAATGCAAATTTGTGCACTAGTGTGGACGGGACTTCAGATTGGTAAAAACCGCCATAAGAAAAATCACATGTGTTTCTGTAATCTGACCCGATGGCCTGAAATTGCGGACATGGACCGCAATACGCAGATTGACCTAACCATTTTTTATATCTGTTGAGATTTTGTATATCGATCTGTAAAATCATGTTGCTTCTTTGTCATCTTTCTTGCAACATTTCTTGTAACTTTAGGTAAATTGAAGTTCTCAGGGTTATATTTTGCCGTTACCATATGAAATTTTTGGCGGAATGGGAATAATTAGGAATAATTAGGAAGGGGGCATATTCATATATTCGTGATACGCAGGATTAATTTATTTTCAAATCAGTTGTCTTCACAGTCTGTTAATCCCCGAGCGGGCGAAGAGCGCCTTTAAGAGTACTAATTCCGCTCGGAGACTAGGAATTACACCGGAACCCGGGAGAACATAGGCGAATCCAAAGTTGTCCAAATTCTATGCCATGGACGGTCGTGGTTGCGTGGTTTAGTAAGTTATGTGCATGCGCGAGTAACGTCTGGTAATCAACAAACGTTCTGATTGGCTAAGACAGAAATTTTGTATTTCGATTCAATGAGAACATCAGCAATTTAACTGTCATTTCGTAAATATTTTTGTAAAAGCGTTTTATAAATTTTGTGCAAAGAAAGTACAACGAGAAGAACAAAGATACATGAAGCTGGAAGCATGACAGATAGCAAGTATGAACATGGATACAGTCAAGACAAAGACGTGTAAGAGGAATAATTCATAATCTTCAAGCTTATAATTGTTTTCAAAGGGTATGTGTTTACTTTGTTTATTTCGTATTTGTTTCGCGGTAAGGATGAGTAGTATTTGTATACTTTTCAGCTTTGAACGCAGCTTACTTGTTAGATTTTCACCTTTGTATAATTTTCAGCTTTTTATGCAAACGCCTAAACCTGTGAAAGGCTATTACACCTTTGGTTTAACTTCAAAAAGTGTTTTAGAAAGTGTAACTTGAATTTTGGTATAAAAATACACACTATATTAATTTTCTAATTCACGGTTAATAACAAATTGCATTTTGTCTACAGAATCAGCGGAATAACTTATACTCGTATCGTCCGCAAACATTCTGGGCTTAGATACATTCAAGCAATTTGGTAGGTCGTTAATATAGATAAGGAATAGCAATGGCCCCAAACTACTACCCTGAGGGACTCCACCGGTTAACGAGGTAGAGCTTGAGAGCTGACCATTTACTTTGCACTTTTATTTTCTATTCGTTAGATATGACCTAAACCAATTTACACTACCTGGATCAACTCCCTAATTTGTTAGCTTTAGCAGAAGAATTTCATGGTCAATGGTGTCAAAAGCTTTTTTTAGGTCGATGAAGACTACCGCATCAGTTAACAAGCCGTTATCTATATTAACCGACCAATCATTTGTTGCCTCTAGTAGTGCTGTTAGTGTACTGTGAAATGATCTAAACCCAGATTGACAAGAAATCAGCAGGTCGTTCTCATTAAGATAATCATAAAGTTGGTCGTAAATGATTTTTTTCGAAAATTTTGGACACCGTAGGTATGATCGATATAGGTCGGTAGTTACCTGGATCAGTTTTAGCGCCACTTTTGTATAACGGTTTGCCGTCCCAGGGATAGATCTCACTTCTCCAACCGTAGCTGGTTCTAGTGCTTCAATGTGGGCTCTGACTTTTTCATCTGTTGGTGACATGCCCCCTGCTGAAAATTTCATGCCGAAGAATTCGATTTCCGTTTAATCAAACTTACATTTCGGTAGTCCTAACGTTAGTCCACAATCTTCAAATCTTTGCAAAAATTGTGCGAGCGCTGTGTCGTGCTGCTGCAGCCGTGTCTTGATTTTAGATCATATAAATATTTTGTCATATAAAACGCAAAGAGAGTCAAATCAGCATGTGCGCAGCATTCATATTTTGACTCTCAAGATGTCCTGGGATTTTATTCGGAATTTGCTTTTTATTTTCCCTTTTTAAATAGTCAGCTCCTCATTGTAAGCGTACACATTACTTTTGACAAACTCTATAACAACCTAACAGTAACACCGACGGATAATGACGTCTCAACTTTCATTTCAAAATATTATATTATTAACAATTCGCACTACTAAATCACAAACAACATGTGATTTATCTTGTTGCTTGAAGCACTCTATATTAAATATCGTTCACCTGATCTAAATTCTGGTTTGAAAGCAAGTAAAGAACTCAAGCTTTACCCACATATCATTAAATCTCTCACTGCTAACCTGTCGTGGCTACTTGATTGAGACTTCCGTTTTATGATGTCACGGATTACCGATTGTATATGAGATCTTGTGGTATATATCGTAATTTTAGTTAGTCTGATAATGATTTTGCAATAAAATCGAAATATGACGAACTCATACGAAAGAAAAGCACAGCAATTTTTTGCTTCATTCAGGAGAAGTGAAGTGGGTTGACTGCTGGATAGAGTCATGCTCCCTTGCATATCTGCAGTTAGACGAGAATCACACTGCTCCAAAACTGTACTCTGGCGATGAAAATAGCTAACCAAGTTCTTGTTGATGAAGGAAAGCATCTGTGCGATGGAAGGTCTAGCCGTCGCATCAAAATTAGCGCACCGATTGAACTATATATCTTCAAGTTGCCACCACCAGGTTATGCGCAGTTGCTCATACTTTGCACTATGTTGAGGTAGGCGATGTTTCGTCACAAGATCTTTCAATGCGACATATGTATCGGACACACCACAATGCTCTAATTCGGCTCGATAAGGACTGCCGAGATCTGGGTTTATCATAGTATGCATAACAGGGCCCAAAGACCAAATATCTGCACGTTTCAGATCTTCTTGCATGGCAATAACAAGTTGATTTAGCTGTAATTTTAGGGCCATGTACGCAGGAGTACCACAATTTACTGCAGTTGTCTTGGACATAACGATTGACTTTGTTTGAATGTCGACGCTGCGACTGAGACAAAAATCCGTAAGCTTGCAGACAATAGGACATTGTTCGTAAGCCCTGGCCATGGCTTCGTTATCACTGGCAACATCATTCAAATGGTGATTGCAAACCAAAACGTTACTCGGTTTCAAATCTCAGTGAGGTATATTATGATTGTGCAAAGAATTAAGTCCCGCGATTATATCTTTAACATGCACATACTGGCAACAAATTAGCAACTGCATGACGAAAACTCGAATTCGCGGTGTCGAGAAATTGAAGGAAATCGGCGAGGGAACTCACACTTTGCTCAACTCCGAAAATCCCAAAATTGAAACTTGAGTACTGCATCATTATTGAGTGCGGCTCACTACAAAATCCTAAGATTTTGCTTATATTGCTGTGTTCCTTAAGGCCCTGTCACACTGTTGCGTATAATAGGAACGTATGAGTCGCGTATAAAGATCGTTTCATTCATTTTTATACGCACGAAAAAGTCTGTAAAAATAGGATATTTTGCATAAAATTAACTTATTAAACGTATGAGTATCGTATGAGTAGCCTGTCGCTGGCGTATGCCAGCGTATGAATGGCTTACGAGAAGCGTTTGAAATGCGCATGTCAAGCATACCAATGGCGTTTCACAGGCTTTAATCGTATATAAGCGGCAGTATTTTCACACGCCTCCATTCGAGAAAATGTCAAACCTACAGTGAAAAAAGAAGAAGAAACCATGGCAAATACGAAGACATCATCTACCCGCGGACGAAGAAAAGGAAAGAGGACTCCATCATCAGCCGTTGCCAAAGCTGACGAACAACGTGTTTGTGCACCTGCAGATGTAGTTGAACCACCTGATCATGATGCACTTATTCCTGAGACATCTTTAAATAATGCGCGACATGTTCCTGAGCTCTCAAAATCTCCAACACAACCTTCCCAAGACTCCCATAATTCATCGGCTTTATCATCTGAAACCATTGATGACTTCACTTCCTTCCGGCGGGCTGATAGCAAGGAGGAAAAAATAAGAGGAAGAGGGCGAAAAAAAAACCCTACAACCACAGCGCCACAGAAGAGGAGCTGATGCTCGAGTTTATCATGGACAACCTATTGCTGTGGAATGTGAAGATGACAGATTATAGGCGAAAAGACAAGAAAGAGAAGATCTGGGAAGAGCAAGTACATCAGATGAATAAGACTGTTGACATCCTCAAGGGCTGGTTCAGATCGCTGCGCGACACCAATACGCGCCTTGACAAAAAGAAAAGCGGGGATACTGCTCCAAACCTGACTAAGAGAGAACAGTGGATCCTCTCAAAGTTTGCCTTCCTGAAGACTGTCACTCGCCACCGACCGGAGCGCCCATGCAGAGTGTAAGTATACAACCATATTACCTTAGCAACATGATAACCAAGTAATTTGAGACAATTTCCACATGATATTTTTGGTTTTTTTAGGTGAAGGAAACCATCCAGCTTCACAGAGAAGATCTCAATGCTGCCAAGAGCGCCTGCGCTGATATGCAAGATGTCTTAGATGAAGTCACTCCAATACCATCATCTACCGCTGGAAGGTCCCACAAGCGACCTCAGGACACAGAGAGTGACGTCCTTGAGACTCTACAGAAGAGAGTTGCTGTCTTGCTGAGTCTGGCACCATCCTCAAAGATATCTACAAAGCTAAACAACAGCCCATTACAGCACGAAGTGTCTTTGCAAATTATGTTAAAGAGA